TGATATAATCAAATTTTATGAAATTACATTACAATATTGTAATTTTTTAAAAAAATGAATACAGTTTTATCTTTAAATTTAGAGGCAAAATGTCTATTTGGATATTTAATATAATATTTTACTTTAAAAATAGATAAAAATAAAAATTAAATTAAATAGACCGTATTGTACTTTTAGCACCAGTTGTTAATTGTTATTACAAATACTGAAATAAGTATATATTTTATCCTTGAATATAAAAGCAAAGCATCTATTTAAGTAGTTAATACTATATTTTAAGTTAAAATAGATAAAATATAAGTAACTTTGTGGCAAAATAAAATCATCATTACAATTCATAAATACATGTTGTCAATGTCATTATTTTTTTGTGCAAACTCGCGGTTTAAAAAAGTTTATAGCAAATAAGCTTTTAACAACATAAATCGTAGCTAAAAGCCCAAATAAGCACAAATATTTTTCCTATTTCTTGTAGTGCCAAAATATCAATGTCAAGTGCTAAAATGTATGCAATGAATATATTTTTTTTTTCAAAAAAAAAAAACTTAAACTCTTCGTATAAAAATACTTCAATGATCAAAATGATTGTACCATTTAATATCAATGTGAATGTCATTCAACACAACACTTGTTGTACCAATTAACTTATCATATTGTTTCATGTCATCTATTAGTTTAACATAATCTATGATTTTTTTTTTTTTATCTGGTTGTGATGTAATTTGTATAATTTCAATTTTGTTAGTAGCAATTTTTATGGATGTTAATATTTTTTCATGCATATAGACAATTTTAATATAAGATTTATACTTATCTTTTTAAGGGTTGTTTTATACTAAATTAAAAATTTGATATCATGTAATAAAATAAAAAAATAATGAAAAAGGAAGTAATTAAATAAAATTAATAAATATAAAATAAAACTAACAAGACATGATTTTGATAGAAATAAAATAGAATAGAAAAAAAAAATAACATGCAACGAAATAGAATTGAAAAATAGAAATGAATGTAATAACTTAATATAATATAATATGAAAATTGAAGAAACTAAAACGATAAGAAATAAAAAAATATAAAATAAAACACATTTGTACGTAACCAGATATCAAATTTTGATTTGGATTGATTATAAAAAACAAAAAAAAACGATTCAAAATTGACCAGCTGCCTCGCAATATTATTTGCATTCCAATGTTTTAATAGAATTTTATTTATTTTAATTAAAATTTTATAAGATTATATTGACTATAAATTTAAATAATATTAATAAACTTGGAAATACTTGAGAATTGATGAATTACTCATGCCATTAATTCTGTTTTAAAAAATAAATCTTAATAATAAAAAAATGTATCCAATTTTGACACGTCACTCACAACAGTGTTAGCTTTTCACTACCCACCCCACGAATCGTCTTTATAAATCTCACTTCCTACCGAGAATTATTGAGCTTCATTTCATTCATACCGAACTTCCTCCCACAGATGGCAATGAAGCGTGCTGCTACTTCTGCAATTAAAGCTTTTGCTTCTTCTCAGACTTCCTTTTCAGGTTTATCAACGAATTTCGCCCGTAACCTCCATGTAAGCCTGTTTCTAATTCTCAATTATCAATTATCAATTTGTAAAATAAGAAGAAAATGAGAAGCATCTGATGTTGATGATCATCTAGTTTCCATAAATTTTCCGGCAGGGGATTTTGGAATTGGTTATTTATTTTTTATTTTTCCTAACAATTGAACTGTCTCAATTTAGTCTTGCATGCAGATTTTGGTTGACGATCATGGTTTATTGTGGTTACCGTGCATGTTAGGTCTTGCAGTGGTGTGACTGTGCCGATCGCAAAGCGAGGAGTCGATTTGTTTATTTCTGGTCTTTGATTCACTTATTAAATAATTAATTATCAATTTATTCTCGAGATACGAATTCTCTGTCAAAATTATGAGAAGACAGAGAAAACATCATCCGCTAGTTAAGATCTTGACAATGAAAGAAGGCTTATAGAGATTTTATACTCTTTTTTTTTTTTTTTTTAATTTTCCATCTTCTTGATGTGGTTGATGTATTAATGTCTATCTGTGCGGCTACAAGCAGGCGTCTCCAGGGAGCAAAAAGATTGTTGGGGTGTTTTACAAGGCCAACGAATATGCTACAGAAAATCCCAATTTCGTAGGCTGTGTGGAGAATGCATTGGGCATACGCAACTGGCTGGAATCACAAGGCCATCAGTATATTGTTACGGATGACAAAGAAGGACCCAATTGTGGTAACTATATATGTAGACTATAGCCCTTTCACGATGTTTATGTACATGCCTTTTCAGCTTAGGAACGTTATTAAGCCTCTACATTGATACTTCCATATATATTATGTGATTATATTCCATAGAGTGTTTGGCCATTCCGTTCAAGGGTCTAGAAATGTTGAATGCACCTGCTGATCTAAAACTTTAAAAAGATTGTGGCTTACTGTCAACAGTTGGTTTGGTTTTATGGACTATGCTATCATCAGAAAGAGAACATTTTGTATCTGAATTTCAGTGGTGGATTGGAATCTCTGCTCAGCTATATGCACTTGATTATCTAATGTGTTAGTAGTTAATACATTAGTTGAGCCTAATTGGTTGAAGTGATAAAATTATCATCTAAATTTACTTTTTTCCTATTGTCCTCTTGTCCTTACTCAGAACTTGAGAAGCACATTCCTGATCTTCATGTGCTCATATCGACACCCTTCCATCCAGCCTATGTGACAGCAGAAAGGATCAAGAAGGCCAAAAATTTGCAACTGCTTCTTACAGCTGGAATAGGGTCAGATCACATTGACCTGAAGGCAGCAGCAGCTGCTGGGCTAACTGTTGCAGAAGTCACCGGAAGTAATGTGGTTTCAGTTGCGGAAGACGAAGTCATGAGAGTACTCATTCTTATGAGGAACTTTGTGCCTGGATACCAGCAAGTAGTTAATGGAGAATGGAATGTTGCTGCTATTGCTTGCAGATCTTATGATCTTGAGGGGAAGACTGTGGGAACTGTTGGTGCAGGGAGAATTGGCAGACTTTTACTCCAAAGATTGAAACCTTTCAATTGCAATCTTCTCTATCATGATCGGGTCAAGATGGATCCGGAACTGGAGAGTCAGATAGGGGCAAAGTTTGAGGAGGATCTCGATAAAATGCTTCCCAAATGCGATGTCATAGTTGTCAATACTCCTCTTACAGAGAAGACAAGGTATCATATACAACCTTATGTCTAGTTTTCCATGCGCCATGAATATCTGATTTTTAATTTTTTATGGCCTCCGACCCAAAGTCAAATATGTGAGCGTTAGAAATTGGGACTTCCTGCTGTTAAACATAGTCATAATCCTTTGGATTTTTATCAAGGAAACTCATCAAATTTTGATGTTGTGAATCAGGGGGATGTTTAACAAAGAAAGAATTGCAAAGATGAAGAAAGGAGTCCGTATTGTCAACAATGCCCGAGGAGCAATTATGGATACACAAGCAGTTGTCGATGCTTGCAATAGCGGACAAATTGGAGGTAAGAACTAGTTGAAAGTTGGTATTTGTAGATGGGGAATCCTATATATGGTGCTGCAGGTTTACATACTTAGATAGTTCTTTAAGATTCCTTGCAAATGGCATGTGGAGTTAGTTCAGAAGTTTTTTCCGCCTTAATCTCTTAGAACAAATGCCTTTGTGTCACTTTCCCCTTGCTGAGAATTAATTTTTGTCGGAAAAGGGTTGGTGAGTTTTTGTAAAAATGTGTTATTTACACATTATCTGGAAGCAATCTCTCATATCAGTTTCTTTCATTCAGGTTACAGTGGGGATGTTTGGAACCCACAACCAGCGCCAAAAGATCATCCATGGCGTTACATGCCAAACCAGGCTATGACTCCTCATATTTCTGGTACTACCATTGACGCACAGGTAATTCGAGTCATCAAGTAAGATTTATTACTTTTCTTTATTTCAAATCATCCAACTCCTCACAATCATATATTGATATTGCACAGTTGCGGTATGCTGCTGGAGTTAAGGATATGCTTGACAGGTACTTCAAAGGAGAAGACTTCCCTGCAGAAAACTATATTGTTAAAGATGGTCAACTAGCAAGTCAGTATCGGTGATTTTGTGCTTCCAAAGCCTGCAGAGTCTTGGTAAAACTTTGTCCAGGTCTTTAAGTTCCATTTCCAAGTTTAAAAAAAAATAATAATAATAACAATAAAGTTGTAATGACTGAAGTCACAACAGTAGTATCATCTTCATGTGTGTGTGTGTGTGTGTCAGTTTTAAAATTTTAAGTCTGTAAATGGATGAGTTTCAATAATTGACTGTTTTTTGCTGGGTATATCGAATTTTTGTCATCTTTTGTTCAATAAAATGAATAGTAGGAGGTATTGTTTATAATACTTTATAAACTATATTGTGTTCTTTTAAAGAAAAAGAATTGTTGTGTTCTTGACTTGGGTTTCCGATAAGGAAAGATACTAAACAGAAAGATTGATTGTATTAGTATTACTTTTGAATTGTTAATCAAGTAAACTTGGGATTTGGAGTAACAAGGAGGATATCATTTAAGTGTCTGTATTCTGTTTAAGGAATTGAAGATCCTTCATTTGCAATTGAATTGCTTCTTTTGATAGAGGCTTTGGCTCCACAACATCATCATTGCCTTCGGCTACCCTCCTCGCCTTGTCTTTCACGATTCTTTGAATTTCCAAGTGCTTGATTGTCGGGAAAACAGCACTGAGCATCATATTTAATAGTCTCTCATCTTCATCTTCTATAACTTCCCTTGTCAAAACAACAAACATAAATTGCTTCAACTGCCTTCTCAACTCGAATCTCCATGGGGATTACTGGAGCAGCAGTCTTCAGTTTGCTCTTCTCTGAACCATACACAATAATCTTTTTCTTCATTCAGTATTACAGAATCATAATAATTTAACTCAGATACTTTTGACATGTCAGAGAACTATGTGTTGAAATAGAAGCAACCAAACTAGGTAACTGAAGCGAAAAATTACCTCTCTTGCCTCATTCATCAAAGCGATAAAATTCTGCTCTTCAAATTCAATGTCATTTGAAATTCGAAGCCTCGCTACTCCTTCTAGGATCTCTTCTGATTTTAAAAGGCCAGCACCAACAGCAGAAACCCAACAGCACAGTAAAACGTATAGAGGATCCCCTGCCTACCCAGTAATCAACACACAACAACTCGTTCCAATTAAGAACAACAAAGAAAAGAAAGAACACCCACGAAAAATAAATCAAGATTTTGACGGAATCATATTCTTAAGTTCTTACCCAAAACAATATAGTGTCAAGAAGAGCGCATGATGAGCATATAAACTAGTATAGATCTTAGTACTTGGTCAATATGAGATTATATTCTTCTTTGACACACTCTTCTCATATAAGCGAAACACATTCATAAATAGGTAGGCAGGAACGAATCACCAACCCGATATTATGCATGACTAAACTATGATGCAAAATTGACTCTGATTGCATGTTTGATTCTTACCAAAAATTATATGCTATGAAGAAGAGTTACATGACAAGCATATAAGCTAATATAAATCCTCATATTTAAATAATACTGAATTACATCCGTTAAAACACATAATCATAAAAAATTTTGGCGAATATCATCATCAACACTTAAACCCAACAAAGTAGCATAAACGAACTTAGCAATAAATGAAACATTCTATGACTCGATCTAAGAACTTGGATCCTAAATTAGAGCACCTCAGACTCGCAAGGTATTTAAATCCAAAATACTCTACCATTGAGCCACCTCCTCAGGTGGTATAAGATCAAAATTCTAATCGCTAAACATGTATTCAACTTGTGTGATTACTCAATAATGTCAAAAGAAAAAAGGTATGCTTAATTAAGTGAAGCAAAACAATAGCTACTATACCTTGCCTCTTCTGTCTTGGAAATCATAGAAAGCTCTTGAGTCATTGATGCTGCACTTCTTTCCCACCCTTCTCCGAAACTCTGCAAAATCAACAATATCGCTACCTACGCCGCCTTCATCGTTGAGTATTCTGGCGACAAGTCCGATTACAGGCAGCGAGCCGATCACCTTGTTGGCGAAACCGGAGATGGAGTTTGAATTCTCCATGTAAGCTCTGACGGGGAGGTGCCATTTTGCTCTGGTGGTTGGTGTGGAGGTAGCAGCAGTGATTTGGTGGAAATGAATTAGAGAAGGGGAGATATTCTTGCAGGAGGTTAGGGTTTGGATCAGGGTCACCATAGTTGTTGATATGTTGGTTTTGGCGTAAATGCTGGCCCCTCGTTTATATATGTTATCCAGAGTGAGGGTTTTGATTGGCTGTTGCTGATGCATGAGAGAAAGTTGTACAGGAGCTGAGAAGTTGGATCACAGCAGATCATAGCCGGTTACTCCTAGTCTTAAAAGGCTCGTTAACAAAGCATTAAAAGAAAGTTCTGTTTACCATTTTGATTATTTAAGGCAGAATATAATGATCGACAAAAGAAGACCGCAAGTACAGAAAATTCTTGGATAAAGGATAATAGTGAGGAAGAGATTATGGGATTTAGTTCGGTTAACTGTTGCATGTTTTATTTGTTGTTCAGGCAGTTTTATGTTAAAGGGTTAAAGTTGAAACGATATGTGCAATTTAAATCAGAGCGGATTGGATTATGTTCAGACCGGTCCTCATTCCAGGACGAAATGGACCAAAGAGTACTGTATGTTCCGTTTCGGTTCCAGTCATGACTAATAATAATTTTTTAAAATATATATATTTATTTATATTAGGTTCAATACTAATTGATTCTTATATTATTTTTACATATTCCAGTTGATCCTTGTACTAATTTTTTTTTTTTTAAATTATTTTGGTCATTATATTTTAAAAAAAATATATATATTTATATCAGTTCGTTAAATGTAATTATCACTATTTCGAAAAGATATATTTGTAGCATTATATTGGGAATAAACTACCATACTATTTATATAAGTTATTGATAATTTTAAGTTATTTGTTGTTGCCACCACATGACTTTCCTTATATTTTGACAAATTTTGTAGTTTTTCTTTATTACCAATCATACGATTTAAACAACTCACATCAAATCCAATCATTCTCATAATCAATTTGATTACATGTTGTTACTGTAAGAGTTAGCTCATCATCTTTTTACAGCAAAGAATGTCTCAACTTCTTGTTCCTCCTCACTTTTGGAAGTAGCGATGTTACTCTTTACAGACTTTTTCTTTGACCAATAAGTTTTTCACCCTGTAAACCTCTTTCCCACAATTATAGCACTTCCCTTCAAATTTTTTTCTCTTGCCATGGTACTTCGAAGCTCCCCTTGCAAGAGCATTCCTTTCATTTTGATGAAGTTTTGTCTTATCTTTATTTATTTTAGATCTATCGACGACATATTTCTTAAAATTTTATTTGTTTTTTTTTTTTGGCATAGAGCATTTTTCTTCACCCTTTATTAAAACTCCTCCATTTCTTAGCCAAGGCTTCTTGACCAACAAACAAATTCTCAAACTCAACAAGTGATGTTGATATTCGGGTCTCAAACTTTGGATAATTATTTTCTTCATCATGATTCATCTAATTAGAGCTTGTGGATCAAACTCTAAAATTTTACGCATAACAACTTCACCTTGTGGAAGTGTCGAACGATTGTCATATTGTATCGTGCTGTTGATAGTAACTCACTCTCGAGAAGTTAATTATTGAGTCATTTTTCTTTGGGAATAACTTGACTAACGTATTCCAAGCTTCTCTGAGGGGTTTTGGCATCCCGAGTGTACTCTAACATGTCGTCTTTGATTGTATCATTACTTTATCCATTTTTATCTTTTATTTCCACAACTACAATTTGCATCCTTTGCTTCCAGTTGTGAAACTTTGTTCATGTACATGACCTCCCATAAATCTTAGCCTTCCATGTAAGACATCGTACATGTACAGTAAAATTTGTAGTTTTGAATTGTTTAACTTTTTTATTTTGCCAACAACTTGAATATAGTTCATCTTGTCAATAAAAAACTCTCACAAAAATTATTATAGAAGTCTCTTAACCTAACTTTGATACCATAATGTTGAGAAACATAACAAAAATTATATATATATATATATATATATTGTAGAGAGGAATAAAGAAATGCACTCAATAAAAGATATATTACAAAACAAGAAATGAGGTTAATAAGGTCATTTGATGCAAATGAGTTTGACTTATATAAATATTCAATATCTGCCACTAACTTCTCCACAAATACAGTAACTTCTCCAGTGATGCACTAATTTTTTAACTAACATACTAACTTCGCCCCTTAACTTCTTCACTAAGACTCTCTTGATTAGGTAAAAATAAGTTATAGTATTTATCTTAACAAATAGAACTAATAGAGATAACAAACTTTGGCCAAATAAAAATCACGTGTTGATTAATGTTGTAACTTTAACAACATTTTCTATTAATTTTAAATGCATATTTTTCTTTTATTTTCTAATAGAAAAATTAACATGGTTAAATCATGTTTTGATATTTAAAAAAAAAATAAAAATAATTCAAGAAAATGATTTGACTAATGAACTAAATTAATAAATCAACAATAGAAAAAATAGGTCTAAGATTATTATTAATTTATTAATCTATTAGTTTTCAATTAATTAGTTCAAGTTATTTTTTTGAATTATTTTTTAAAATATTCAAATATAAAACATATCATTTTACATTGTTCAATTAGAAAATAGAAGAAACTGAGCATTTGAAACAAATAAAAAAACTTTCGAGAACTAAATTATAACGAAAAAAAAATATAAAAAACTAAATCGTAATATGAGACTAATTTGGTAATTTGCTATTAAAAGTATATTAGAATTAGGTGCAAGAAATATAATGTTGATTTTAATTATTTTTAAAATTAATGTACTAATATACATAATATTGTTAAAAAAAATAATATCAATACATAATTTGATCAGTTAAAGCTATCAATAATTTCTCTTGACAAATATATGATTTTCCCTCTCACATTTGAATCTTATATTTTTTTCAATATAATGAACCAAGAGGAGAGGAACGTGGGAAGTATAATGGAGTTAATTTATAGTAATTGGTGATGGGAAATGATATTTAAAAATAATTAATTTTACTATTATTTATCATACGGAATTATATTTACATTATATATTTTTTTTTATTCTATCTATAAGGTAAGAATTGTAGGAATCTATTAATTAAATATATTTGTTAATTAATAATTATTACCATTTAAAACGTGATCAATTTAAATATTATTTATTAAGATTTGTTTATACAGGAAAGATTTCCTTTCGCCCAGTTATATATTGTTTTACTTTTAAGTGTGAGATTTGTTAAATGCAAAATCAAAACTTTTAAGTATTTTATTTTATCATTTTATATTTTGTATGTATGTATGTACATATATATATATATATTTATATAAATAATTTTGATCATTATTATCGTATATTTATGTATTCAAATCTTTTATGAGAATTCATAATTTTGTTACGTTTAATAAATTTTTTATGCTTTACATATATTTTAAAGAAATATAAAATTCATTTATATTTAATAATTCATATTTTAAATTATTCTTTTGTACGCTAGGTATTTAAAACTGTAGTTTAATTATAATATATAATTCGAATTATAAATAGAATTAAAAAATAACTAAAAAATGTTTCTCCTGAAAAAAATAAAATAAAAATGTATAATGAGATAAATTTACCCCTTCTAAAATTTGAAATTTATAACCAAAAAAATTTCCGTTAAGGTGCCTCTCTCTCTCTCTCTCTCTCTCTCTCTCTCTCAATGGGCAGGCCCCTAACCAGGGGATTTTGACTTCCGGCTCCACGAAAACGTGACTCCCAGTTGGCGGCACCACACTTCTCCTCCATCTCTGCTTCCCTTCAGAAACAAAAAGCTTCAAGTACCGCTCTCTCTCTCTCTCTCTCTGTGTCTTTCTCATATTCATAAACTCCTTTACATTATCATTTCTAAATCTTCAGACAATCAAATACCTACTCTCTGCCGTTATCCTTTTATCAAGCTATTGTTAGTTTCCAGATACAGTGGGAGAAGGAGTAAAGAAAATTTTCAGTATATCAGCAAGTGAGAGTCAAAATGGGAGCTTACTGCAATGAGGAATTCTCCCTCTCTCCGGTTTACAGTTCCATTTCATCACAGGATATTAGACTCTCGAAGCACGTTCACGATAATGTCCATGGCAACATTTACCTCGATCCCGTAAATCTCACTTTCTCTAGCCTATTTTATTTATTTATTTTTCAGATTTATCTTAAAATGTTATTCCGTTATTTTATGATTTTTCTGGTTTTTTAATATCGATGGATTATTGAAGATTCATGTTGTTTTCGAGCTTGAGATCTATGGATTGAAATTGCATTGTGCTTTTTATCTTCTGTGTCAAAGCAGAATAGGATTGTAAGATTAAGCAAAATTGATTTCAATTATGGTAATCTTTAAAGCTCATTTAGTGCCTACTTTGTATTTGCACAGGATTCCGTGTGTGTTTGTGTGTTGAGATGAGGATGTTAAGCCTCATGTATGCTCAGCTACTGGTGGCTGACTACTGTTTTTGATGCGCGAGCACATTTATCAAATTTTTCATATATCTACTAGTGGTGTAATGGAATTTGACCAGTGTTTTCGTCGTGATTGATTGCAGCTTTGTTTGAAATTCGTTGATACCGAGCAGTTTCAGAGGCAGGTTCTTTCAATAACGACTGTGTTTTCTGTGATCTTTTATTCCTCCATTATAGTTTTTATAGGTTTTGTTTATCACGTTACTAGCATTGTATTTAACAATTTGGTCTGTTCCAATATCTCAGGCTTCGGGACCTTAAGCAACTTGGTAAGTTGCGTGCCTATTCTCTTTGATCTCAATTGACTGTTCTCTTCTGTTAAATAAGCAACGGGATGGTTCTTTCACAAGAATACTCTTTAATTTAGTGAAACATACGTATAGAAAGAATCCCAAAATGGATTCTTTTCCAGTGAGGACATTTTTCTCATCAGCATGCCACAGGCACTCACACTCTTCTATTCAACCCTCTGATGACAGCAGAGAGCTGGTCTAAGATTGTGATAGTTCTACTAGCATAATGACTAAAAACAAGATTTTTCCTTAAGGGAGTGAGTAACTAAAAGCACTGGGGGCTTTAACAACCAAGTAAATATTGTGCTCTCCTATCCAAGAAGAGAAAGAATGAAGTTTGGTATATCTCTGTCTAAATTGGTTATGTTTGGAAGTTTTTTTTCAAAGTGGATCTTGATTCATCATGTTATTTGACTGAACCACACAAATTTTTGCATCCTTTATGTCTTGCTTATTTATTTTATTCACACAAAATATTACACACATGCACAAGTTTCCTACCATCGTAAGTAAAAATTTAAAGGGACCGTGCTCATTAAATCTCAAACCACTTAACATGGTGGGTTACACTAGTTTAAGCATTTAGCTAACTAAAATAAAAAGTAAAAGATTACCCAGGTTGGTGGATTAGAAATGATAAGATAAGCGTAATGATTAGCTCAATTTTTTGGAGAAGAAATTTCAAAGGGATGCAGCTATGAACTTCTCAAAAAATTATCTTGCTATACAGCATGTTGGAAAAAAATAAAGGGGGTGTGGTTGCTCTCTGTTTCCCCCTTGCTTCATTACTTATCAAAAGCATTTTGACAATAAATTCTAGTGCTTTTTGTTATTTTATGTATATACAAGGAAAAAGCCAAAACAATTATATGGTTATATTTTATGAAAACAACTATACATCCTAAGTTTCCAGCCAATATTTCTATGCGCATATTTTTTCTTTTGGTTTTTGGTGAATATCATTGGGCATCAATGTTTCTGTTCCATTATTTGCTCTTTAGGTTTGTTTGCTTTTTATTTTTGACCTCCTATGCGATAGAACGACCTTCTTAATGTCTCTTCGGGATAAGGCACATGTGCCTTACTGGAATATATCTTTGGCTATTTTCCAAAGAGGTTGAGTTGCAAGTTTGTATTGAGTTCCCCCGCCCCTGTATTTCTATTTTTTTGTCCTTGTCTTTGGTTAGAAAGATTGGTATTCTCTATAATGTACTTTTTCTTTGAACCAAACTGCTACTGCTAGACCTATAGCAATTGCTGTCCCCGCATCTAAAACATACTACGCATTGGCATAAGGGGCCTTGTGGTGCACACATGACACACTAGCATGATGGACTGTCCATGCATCAATGCCATGCCCATACATAATAGAGAGTCCGTAGGATGATTTTTGGGTCCCATAAGGCCAACAATCTCCCTCATGACATCCAGGGGTCTCGAACTTGCGACCTCTCTATGTACCATTTCTTAGGATCGAGCTCCTATTCTAGACCAAAAGCAATTGGTCTTCGTCAGTGTAAACTTCATTGGTATTGTACCAGTCCTTAGGATTAAGCTTCTATTCTAGACCAAAAGCGGTTTCTATTGGTCAGTGTAAACTTTATTTCCATTAAACAAACAGCACAGAGCCTCACATCTATATTGTGCTATAAGTAGGCATGAGGGACTTTGCAGTGCATGCGTGGTATATCAGTAGGTTAGGTTGTCAATTTACTGATGCCATGTCCATACGTGACAGCAAGTCCATATTGTGATTGCTAGTCCCCAAAAGACCAACATTCTTCTCTTTTCTCTTTCTAGCAAACTCCTTTTTGTATAAATAAAAAAGAAGTGATTGCTTTGGTGTTGATTGTTAGTTGATTTCCGTTGGCTCAGTATTTGCTTCTGAGGAAAAAAGATAATTATGTCTTTCAGGAATGGCAAACATGGTTTTTCCCGGCGCTGTGCATTCTAGGTTTGAACATTCTCTTGGAGTATACAAGCTTGCTGGTGAAGCTGTTCAAAAGCTTAAAACTTACCAGGTATATAACTATTTGATAGATTAGTCCTGTGTTTTTGTGCTGCTGAAAGAATTTTAAATATTTTCTTTATATCTTGAATCCTTGTAGGGCCTTGAACTCGGTATTGACCACTTTGATATTCAAACAGTGAAACTTGCAGGTATCCTTTAATGGGCCAAAATACTCTGTGAGCCCTTGTACCATTAATTTTTTCTATCTAAACTCCCATACTTTCAAATTTTTATGAATTCAACCCTTAACAATAACGACCATTTATTTGCCATTAACGGCTGGGTACATGGCTGATAATGCATCAAAATCATGACACGTCAACAATGATATGGTGCATGACGTGGTAGGATTGAACATTAGTGTTGAGGGTTAAATTGCTAAAAGTTTGAAATTATAGGGCGAAAATAGACCAAAAAATAGGACATAGGTTTAGATGAAAGGAAATCATATAATACAGGGGCTCATAGGGCATTTTGATATTTTCTTTTTCTACTTTTTCATTTTTGTTAATTGAAATTGCATACCCCCAAAGAAGAAAAAAATAATTGGGAAATAAGAAGCATATTTTTGTGGGGTTAGCACATGCCTTGGATTGAATAAGAAATTAAGAGAATTTTTTAGTTAAAAATTATGTCCACTCTTTTAGTTTGTGAGCTATCCTAGTTAAAGAAGTTTATTCGTCAGAGAATATTTTTTTTTACCTGAATACATTTTATCTCGCTGGAAGCACTGTAGTCTTATTAACACACTATAAATTAAGTCGTATGCCCTACGAAATCAAATATTATGGATTGAAACGCTTAAATAATGTTGAATTCTACAATTTAATAAGATTTGAACTCGTAACTTTTAAACAAATTAGAAGTTTTAAATGGAAGTCAGACATTGCAATTTTTTGTTCCTCTTATTCTTTATTTGTATTTCTTTTGGGGAAGTTGTAAATGGAACATGACCGAAAAATAAGGTTATGAATTACCTCTCTTTCTCTCTCTCTTGTACATCTTAATGAGTTACGTGGTGCAAATATAGTTAACTAATTACATATGATACCTTTTATTTTTTTTAAATAAATTGATATAATCTAAAATATATTGTTTGGAATAAGAAATGTATATAAAATAATGCTAACTCTAAAAGTTAAATATTTATAAAAAGTTCGAAGCATACTATAAGCTCCTACACTATTTGATTTTTTTAATCTTATCTCTTGTACTATTTTTTTGGTCGACTTTGGCCCTGTACTTTTAAATTTTTACAGATTCAATCCTCAGCACAAATCTTCAAACCTGGCCATTATGTGTCACTTCATTGTTAAAGTTTCATGATTATGACACGTTATCATTCATGTGTCTAGCCATTAACAGCCTTCAAACGGTTGTTAATGCCGAAGGCTGAATAAATAAAATTTGAAAATATAAAACTAAAATAGACTAAAAAATAGTATAGGGACTTAGTTAGAAAAAATCAAATAGTACACGGACTCTTAGGGTATTTTGACTATTACTTATGTCTCATTGTTTTCTCTTGTCTAGTCAACTGGTTCCTAATTTTTTGATGCGCAAAATGTAGGACTTCTCCATGATGTTGGCCATGGGCCTTTCAGTCACTTGTTTGAACGAGAGTTTCTACCTAAGGTTCTCAATGGTGCTAAATGGTATGTGTCAGATGCCCCAATGGAATATCTTGATTTCTTCATTCTTCTGATTGCTGATCATGAGAACATGGAGTCTAGTTCAGAAACTTAAGATTTTTACTTGAATATCATTTTTTCTTGTGAACATGATTATTTTTGCAGGATGTTTCCTTTTTAAATGTATTAATTTTTGTGTCTGGGAACGGGTTGAGAGGGCATATGGTTAAGGTATTACGGACGAAGTATATTTTTGGTTTTTTATTCCTTGGCAAGTATAGTTTTTGAAAGACTTTGCTTACATTATTATTACTAAATTTTTCCCAGTTGATCTATTTGACAAATTCTTTTCCAACCTAATTGCTCTGTGAATAGTTTTGATTATTTTTTTGTGGCAATTTAATATTCCAGGTCTCATGAGCAAATGTCAGCAAAGATAGTTGATAATATTGTTGACGAGCACCATATTGAAATTGACTCTGATATGGGTTAAAAGAGTAAAGGTAAGTTCATCTTCTTACGAGTCTTCTGCTTCCATTTCTTCTCTGTCTTCTCTCTGGCATATTATCTCTGGTTTTGTCGTGTTAACACTGGAAATATTTGCATTCTCAAGTCATTTAGAATACTTTCTTAGAAAAAGTTAAGATAGAATATTACTAAAATGATGTTAGAATATAGTGGAGAAGTCAAAATTTTGTTTGAGTGAATTACTGCATATGCCTAAAATTTGTATTATAGATATCCAATATTCTTAAGTGTCTATTTTTCTGAAATAATCTCAAGGGTTCACAAGAGTGACCTTATAGCAGTTTTATAAAGTATCTGTCCCATTCAGAAAGTTTTGCTTAAATTTGAAGCCAAAACCAGGTAATATGCCCTAGATTATTTATCAGCCAAATCTTCTTGCTGGTTGATAGTGTTAGAAATTTCCATTTTCCTTCAGAATTTTTTCAAGTTCTCCATTGCCATGAATTTGCTATAACCTGTGTTTTTTTCTTTCAGTTGTTTCATGGTGAAAAAATCAATGCATATGATTCCAGTTGGAACTAAAAGCCTATGCATTATTTTAATTTCCATAATTAGTATCCATTTATTTATTTGAATGGTTTTTTTGCAGGAAATGATACTAGCTAGTTCTGAATTTTCTCAACCCAAAGTAAGATTCTTCTGGGTTTCTTTATCTCATAGGCATAGCATGGCTCTTTGTGGTGTGCTTTCTTAGTTGCTTTCCAAAACAAAATATTGGTTTTAGAAAAATTAGTATTTGCTGATGTACTTTGTAGTTGCTTTTCAATAATTTTTCAATTGGAAAAAACAAATTGAGCTGTTTCTCAAAAGTAGGTTACTTTCTCAAAGTAACAAAATTTTCTTTGGAGGGAAGTAAATAGAAGTCATTGGTAAGTTTAGTTCTAATACTCTAATATTTTCAAAAGATCAATACAGAATATGTATAGATAAATTTCAACTTTTGGAAAAAATAAAACTTTTTTTTAGATTATTGTTTCCCCATAATGTTTTTTGAATGTGTTTTTATCGCAAATGAATATTTTTTGAAGCATCTCAATAATATTTTATAAAAAATAATATTCCAAACACTTATTACCTTTGATTAGTACAAACCTTTGATCGTAACAACTAAAATGAATTTCTCTTGAAATAATTTCCCACAACATTATAAGACGGCGCATATATGCTTCCTAACAGTTTGTTGATTTTTTTTATTACTTTTGTTGACATGGGTTTACTTTCCTTTGATTTGTAGGAAATGGTGGGAAAGTGCTTTTTGTATGATATTGTTGCAAATGGTCGAAATGGAATTGATGTGGACAAGTAAGTGGTTTTTGTGAATTTTCAAATTTTTATCATTCTTTTCAGCATCATGTTGTTACTACAATTGTGGCGTACACATTGTAATTTTCAAGATGTTGTCCACATACAGGTTTGATTACATTGTCCGTGATTGCCGAGCTTGTGGCCTAGGATGCAACTTTCAGTTTCAGAGGTTTTTTACTCTTCTCTTCTATTGATTCCTTTTATTGATGGTGAGCAAGCTTTATACACACCGCATCACTTGCAGATTAATGGAGACAATGCGGGTATTGGGTGGTGAAATTTGCTATCGTGCTAAGGACTGTTCGTATCTTATGTCTAATTCAATTGTTATATTTGTATTTGCTTGTTTGTATCCCCTGCTTATTATTTGTTAATTTACTAGATCTTACTGTCTACAAGTTATTTTGTACTCGAGCTGATTTGTATAGGACAGTTTATACACATCCAAAAGTAAAGGTATGAAATAGAACATCGAAGTGATTCTTCTTTATAATGTGATTATTTCTGTATGATAATACTTTTATTTTTTTCTTCCACCTCTTCTAGTAGTCTCTGGAGCTGCTGGGTCTCTAATGCTATAGTGTTACAATTGCAGGCAATAGAGCTTATGGTAGCAGATGCCTTGTTTAAAGCCAATGATTACCTAGAGATCTCATCCTACATTGAGGATCCATCTCAATACTGGAAGGTTTTTGCTACATCTTAAAATCTAAACTATTTAGTTCTTGTGGTTAGAGAATTTATGTTGTCTTTGTTTCTTGCAAAATGCAGTTAGATGATACAATACTCAAAACGATTGAAACAGTTGTGGACCAACAACTTAAGGAAGCAAAGGAATTGATCTTGCGCATCCGCAGAAGGAATTTGTACCAGGTAGTGTAGCTCTTGTGATTAGACACCTCCATTTTTTTAGTACGTAATGATCACATGGAATGAAATGACTGCTATTTACTTCTCTTGGTTCATGCTTGCACATTGTTAAATGTTATGTTGCAATCGTGTATTGTGAAAAGTAAAGCTTAATGATTACTTTCCTTCTCTCTGGCAGTTTTGTAATGAATATGCTGTTCCCAAGGACAAAATAGAACATTTCAAAGATGTTACTGCACAAGATATAGTTTGTTCTCAGGTCCTTCCAAATCTTTTGCTTTGTATTTACATTTCTGGTTATATTTGTGGTTCAAGGCCTTCTTTAATATTGTTTGAAGCATTTTAAGCAGAAAAATGGAGTCCTTTTAAAAGAAGAAGATATTGCTGTCAGCAATGTTAGGATCGATTTAACTCGTGGAAGGCTTAATCCACTGGAAAGGTATGTGAAGAGCATGTTACCATTGAACAGGCAATTCCTTTTTCTCCTGCTCTTTTGGGATTATATGCTGACACTTTTTTTTTCCTCTCTTCTTCCAATTCTTTGCCTGTTGTGTTCTCTTCCAGCATCAACTTTTTCAAGGTAAAGAAACTTTTAACTGATTTCATCTTTCATTAGCTGTATACTTGACAACACTGGTTGATTCTTGATGTTCATGGTCAATGGTTAAATTTCAGTTACTAAGAAAAGAGGCTTTTGTAATTGCAGTCTGAATTGTACCGTATAGTTGCAGTGACTTATGACATGATCAGTTTCATCCTTGTATAGATATTGCTATTGATTATAAAGTAGTGCACTTAAATGTCTTATTTGGTGCTTTTTAGCATGAAGGGATTTGCTGTTTTGTTTTTAAATATTAATTCTCTGGGGATTTGGGTTTGTCTATAAACTGCTTTAACATCCCCTGACCCAATTTACCGGTTTGGTAAATTGAAAAGGTATTTAAGAAAATCCACTTATTATGAGCACAAGTAAAAAAGAACAGAAAGAAAAACACTTCGATCTTGACTTCTTTCATATTGGCTCAACATGTTTATTCTTTCAACATGTTCTATTACCTATTTAATCCCAAATTTTATACATTTTCTTTTATCAACATACAAAAGTTATTATTTTGCACAATAAGTACACTTAACTATTTATTTTCTAAAACAATGCGTAGATGCTTTTGGGTTACTTATGAAAACCTAATGGTTCAAGCATTTTTCCTTCATCAAATCAAAGGGCTGTCCATGAGCTAAATGGCAGTCCTGCTAGAGACTCAGAGGACGACTTTTTAATGTATTTGAGAATGACTTTCATATGAAGAGATGGGTAGTAGAATTCTTCAGACTTCTGTTAAAATTTTATTGTATGGACAATACTAGCATGAAGATTTTCTGGAAATGGCTTTTATAAACGTTCTCAAATGGATCTCCAGCAGACGAAGAGGCAGAAGACACTCAGAATAGCACAATTGGAGATCCTGGAATTCTTTTGTTTGCATTAATGCATTTTCAGTAGTTTTCATGTCCTTCTCCCTACAGCTTGTTACTGATTTGGTTTCTGCTCAGGATTATGAGAATGAAGAGAAATTCCCAATACCGGATGAGCATATTAGTCACTTACTACCTTCATTTTATCAAGATATGATAGTGAGGGTGTACTCCAAGAAACCTGAACTGGTTTGTTAATTCCTTGTACCCTTTATCATGCGTCTATGCTCATATTTTGACCAATTACGTTATATTTCTCTTACATGTGGAAACAGGTAGGAGCAGTGTCTGAGGCTTTTGAAAATTTTCAATTAAGAACCTATGGGATCAAAGCTCAGATACATGCAACACCAGAGAAGAAGAAAAGGCGGTTATGAGATAATTCATTTGTGCTATTATTTCCATATTTATTATAGTTTGTTGAAATAAAAATTCTTTTTAAATTCGTAAATCTGTAAAAATTAAACATATAATATCGTACTGAATTAATGTGAAATATAAGCGGAAAGATAGCTGGATCCATCGGAGAAGATTTGTTCGTGTCTGTTGGTAGGATCTTTCGAATCAACACAGCGCTTTAAAACTAGTTTTTTCTGGTGATAGAATTTCAAAAAAATAAAATGACAATTTTGTGATTCGGGGATCATAACTGTTTTTTACATCAATAAACATTTGTCATTTTCATTTCGCCCATCATAAAATGAGAATATTACAAAAATGATATCTGCACATTACAAGCCTATAATTAAATCCGATGCATTAAAACTCAATATTGTTTAATTATATTTGATCACTTTTAAACGAATTCATTAAATTGATAGCTTGATACGCATATCAAGATCCACATTAAGCCTACATGTTAGAAAAAATCTAATAATTTTTCACTTAGACTTTATGTGAACTTTAATTATGCGTTAAATAACTTAGGAGTACTCAAAATTGTGCTATAAATACTTGAATGTATCATCAAATAATTTCGTCCATCGATCATAAAGACGTAGGATCAAAGCGGATTTTGCTACAGCTAACGTAACTAAATCCATAAATGGTCACGTATATCAGTATAACCGAATGACATAGATCAAGTATGGATGTGTAGTATGAAAATTACATGATATGTGATCTAAGCATGCTTAGTTTTAACTGATCATGCCTTAATTTTAATGAGATCAACTGTAAGAAAATTTAGAGATAATAATATATATAAACATAAGCATAAAAAAACTGAAATGAAACCATATACATAAACCAAAACCAAAGTACAAAAATTTATAACATGTCTTACAAAATAAATGCAACTATGGTAAACTCCCACTGAAACTACACATCATATAGGAATATAACACCCATATGATCATTGTGCTCATAAAAGATCTTAGGTGATAATCCCTTAATGAGCGGATACGCAATTATGGATTTTGTTTCAATGTACTCTTTCAATATCTGCTTACTCTAAACTCTTTCTTTAACAACGAAGAACTTGATATTTATATATTTTGATTTCGTCGAGCTTCTGTTGTTGTTGGAATACATAATTACAGATTTATTGTCACAAAATAACTTTAATGGTCTTTCAATGCCATCAACAATACGCAGCCTAGTAACAAAATTTCGCAGTCATATTTAATGATTAGATGCCTCATAATAAGGTACAAACTTTGCTGGCATAGTAGAAGAGGTTACAAGTATTTGTTTAGCACTCTTTTAAGAAATAACTCCCCCAACAAGCAAATAAATATAGCACGATGTAGATTTTGTACTGTCTTAACATCCAACGAAATCAGAATCAGAATAACCAATGATCTCCAACTGATCTGACCTCCTGTATGTGAGTATATTACCTTTTGTTCTCTATAGATACCACATGACACATTTGAATGCTTCCCAATGATTCATATCTGGATTGCTTAAATATCTATATAACATCCCAAAAATGTATGAAATATCTGGACACGTACAAACATGTGCATACATAGCGTAAAGAATCTTTTGCATCTCTGTATTCTCTAAATCATTATTGGGGCATTGATTTAGAGTAAACTTGTCTCCTTTAGACACATGGGAGTCACCTGGTTTACAATCCTGCATGCTAAACATTTTAAGAACATTTTCAATATATCTATTTTGTGATAATTCAAGAATACCCCGAGAGCGATTCTAGTGTATCTAGATTCCTAATACAAAAGAGATGTCCCCAACATCTTTTATCTTAATTTTTTTTGTCAGAAATCTCTTGATTTCGTACAATAAGTCTATATTACTATTGATAAGTAATATGTTATCAACATATAAAATCAGAAAAATATACTTACTCATACTAAACTAGTGGTATACACAATCTTCCACTAAATTCATCTTAAAACCAAATGAGATGACCACTTGATGAAATTTGTGATATCATTGACAGAAAACCTGTTTAAGTTCATAGATGAATTTTTTTAGTTTGCAAACCATTTGCTGTGCATCTTCGGATACAAAGATTTCTGGTTGCACCACATAAATCATCTCATTAATATCACCATTGAAAAATACTGTTTTAACATCCATCTGATGTAACTCAAGATCAAAATATACCACTAAAGCTATTATAGTCTTGAAAGAGTGTTTTGACGAAACTAGAGAGAAAGTCTCTTTATAATTGATGTCTTCTTTCTGTGTAAGCCCTTAGCGACAAGACGAATCTTGTACCTCTCCACATTACTTTTCGGATCCCTATTGGTCTTAAATATCCATTTGCAACCAATAGGTTTTGTATCCTTAGGCAATGGGACAAGATCGGAAACATAATTGTCCTCTATGGACTTTATCTCTTTATTTATGGCATTAATCCACTTTTGAGAGTTAAAACTTTCCATTGTTTGATGGAAGTTGATAGGATTATATTCAATCGTGCCAATATCAAACTCATGTTCTTGAAGATATACAATATAATCATCTGAAATTGCACTTCTCCTCTTTTTAGTGAATCTTCTTAATGATATAAGTTATTGAAGGTGTGAAGTTTGTGTTTCAAGAATAGTTTACTGAACAAGAACGTAAGATACTATGACATTGTCTTGATCTGGAGTTACTTCTTGAATAATGCTAGGTATAAGAACCTGATCCTAATCATTATCAAGAGCAACTGAGGAATTAAGAATATTGACCAATTCCTCTTCAAAAATAAGGTTACAAACTCTTTCTCCCCCCACAAATTCAACATCCTCAAAGAACTGAGCATTTTCCATCTCAAAAATTATCTTAGCAGTGAGATCATAAAATTTGTAACCCCTGAATCACTCCGAATAACCAACAAAATAACAACTAACAATCCTGGAGTCTAGTTTCTTTTCATGTGGCCTATAAGGCCTAGCTTCAGTTTGATATTCCCAAATATACAAATGTCTCAAATTAGATTTCTTGTCCATCCAAAGCTCATAATGGGTCTTTGTAATTGCTTTAGTTAGAACTCCATTGAGTAAATATGTTACAGTCTTTAATGCTTTTCTCCAGAGTGATTCGGGTAAAGTAGAATGACTAATCATACTTCTCATCATATTCTTAAGTGCTCTGTTTTGCCTTTCAGCAACACCATTCATGCTAGAAAAACCTGACATCGTGTACTGTGGGACCATACCTCATTTTTCTAGGAATCGAGCAAACGGCCTTGGACACTGTTCACCTAATCCGTAAGATCTACCATAGTATTCACTACCACAGTCAGATCTAATAACCTTAATTCTTTTGTTAAGTTGATTCTCAACTTCTGCTTTAAAACTCTTGAACACATCCAGAGACTAAGACTTCTCATGAATGAGATATAGGTAGCTATATTTTGAATAATAATTTATGAACGTTATAAAATATTATTGACCATCCCAAAAAATCGTAAGGAAGGGTTCACAAATATCTATATGAATGAGTTCTAATACGTTCATAACCCTGTCGATACCTAATCTCTTAATATTTGTCTGTTTTCTCTTGATATAATTGTCACATCTGTCAAAATCTGTAAAATCAAGGGGATCTACAAGTCCATCTGACACAAATCTCTCAATTCTTCTTTGGAAAATGTGACATAATCTCTTGTGCCATAATGAAATGAAATTCTCTTCGGTTAATTTTCTCTTTATATCTCTTGTACTAACATGTAAGGATTTATTATAAGAAGTAATTATATCAAACAAATAAAGATTATCATACGCTGATAAAGAATCAGAACTAATCATATTTGAATTAAGAAAAATATTAAAATTTTCATTTCCAAATAAATATGAATAACCAAATTTGTCCAATGTAGAAACAGAAATCACATTCCATCTAAGTGACAGTACAATAAAAATCTCTTCTGAATCCAAATAAAATCCAATTCTTAACAAGAATCTAAATTTGACAATTATTTCCACCTCGACTGGTTTACCATCGCTCACATAAATGAATCTGACGCCATCACTTGGCTTACGACAATAGAGGCAACCCTACGTAGACACATTGATGTAAATTATGGTATCATGATCTATCCACTAAGTAAATAAACAAAATTAAGAAACATACATTTCTTTGTGCTCCACGCATGATAGTTAGCGCATTATTTGATCACTTTTAAATGAGCCTATTAAGTTGATATACTGATATGCATATCAAGACCCACATTAAGCTCACATGTTAGAAAAAATCCAACATAATCTTCATAATATTATAAAACATCAATAGATGACACACCATAAAATATACTTGTTTAAATAACATTGCCATTAACAATTAGGTGATTTTTGTTGCTCTTATTTGGATTGCCCTCGAGTCATGAAAGATTTGCACCATGAAGAAGTAAAACCAATTTGTATAGTTGGTTATTAGCATCTTAGTTATCATCTTAGAGGTCTTTGGAAAAAGCTAAGGAAGCATCCGAAGCAGCAATTAAGACATCAAATTTCTTATGCAATAGAAGCTAAAGAAGTATCCAAAATGCCAAAATTTATCGAGTTTTTCTTGCAATAAGTACAAAAAGTGGCTCGGTCAGACTTTTGCAAGATATTTATATCATTAGTTTATTATATATCTGAATTAAATATCAACAGATTGCCAGTAGAAAATGTTTTGAATCAAAAAGAGAATCTGCTGTGCTACTTAGTATGAGTTTCTTAATGTGGGCTCAGTTTCAATGGGTGTTTTCTCTGTCAATGTGCTAAAAGCTGACAGTCGATTGTTACTGATTATTGTTTAGATTTTGTCTATTAATAATGTGAAAGTTTTTATTCTTTATTCTCTTGCAAGTAATTAGTTTCCAATTTTTCATGGAACACATAAAAGAACAAACAATTAACTAATAATTTGAAAATGTTGAAACTATAAAAAAATATTAAAATAATCTAATTACGATAATTCTTAGATAGTAAATTACTATGCCTATGTGACATTAATTTTCCATGTGTGAGAAAGAATTGGTTTATTGAGTTAAAATCATAAAATGTAGCATGCATGACAAGGTTGAGCCTCTTGAGGTCAGCTTCTGTCATCCAAGTACAATCATTTTGAGGCGTC